TATTGTGGATTACATTGATAGATTTTCGTATGTTGAACCAGCCCTGCATCCCTGGGATGAAGCCTACTTGATTATAATGGATAATTATTCTAATGTGTGCTTGGATTCGGTTTGCCAGTATTTTATTGAGGATTTGTGCATCGATGTTCATAAGTGAGATTGGTCTATAATTCTCTTTCTTGGTTGAGTCTTTGTGCTGTTTTGGTATCAGAGTAACTGTAGCTTCATAAAAGAAATTTGGCAATGCCTCTTCTGTTTCTATATTGTGAAATATATTAAGGTATATAGGTATTAGCTCTTCTTGGAAGTTATGGTTGAATTCTGCATTGAAACCATCTGGTCCTGGGCTTTTTTTGGTAGGGAGGTTTTTGATAACAGGTTCTAATTCTTCGCGACTAACAGGTCTGTTTAGATTGTTCACCTGGTCCTGGTTTAACTTTGGTATATGGTATTTATCTAAAAATTGTCCATTTCTTTTCCATTTTCTAGTTTTGTGGCATATAGGCTTTTATAGTAAGATCTAATGATTCTCTGAATTTCCTCTATGTCTGTGGTTATGTCCCCCTTTTCATTTCTGATCTTATTAATTTGGAAATTTGCTCTCTGCCGTTTGCTTAGTTTGGATAGGGGTTTTTCAATCTTGTTGATTTTCTCCAGGAACCAGCTTTTTGTTTTGTTGATTCTTTGTATTGTTTTCTGTGTTTCTATTTTGTTGATTTCAGCCCTCAATTTGATTATTTCCAGTCTTCTACTCCTCCTAGGTGAGTCTGCTTCTTTTTTTTCTAGAGCTTTCAGGTGGGCTGTTAAGTCTCCAATGTGAGCTTTCTCTGTTTTCTTTAAGTGGGCACTTAGTGCTATGAACTTTCCTCTTAGGACTGCTTTCATAGTGTCCCATAAGTTTAAGTATGTTGTTTCTTTATTTTCATTGAATTCCAGGAAGACTTTAATTTCTTTCTTAATTTCTTCCTTAATCCAGGTATGGTTCAGTAGTTGACTGTTCAGTTTCCATGAATTTGTAGGCTTTTGGGGGGTAGCATTGTTGTTGAATTCTAACTTTAATCCATGGTGATCTGATAAGACATAGGTGTTTACTAATATTTTTTTTGTAACTGTGGATGTTTGCTTTTTACTGACTATGTGGTCGATTTTTGAGAAGGTTCCATGAGCGGCAGAGAAGGTATATTCTTTCCTATTTGGGTGGAATGTTCTATAGATGTCTGTTAAATCCATTTGAGTCATTACCTCCATTAATTCTCTTATTTCTCTGTTAGGTTTCTGTCTGATTGTCCTGTCCATTGGTGAGAGAGGAGTGTTGAAGTTTCCTACTATTAGTGTGTGCGATTTGATGGCTGCCTTGAGTTTTAGCAATGTTTCTTTTATGTACGTGGGTGCTTTTATATTAGGGGCATAGATGTTCAGGATTGAGACTTCATCCTGATGAACTGTTCCTGTTATGAGTATAATATGCCCCTCTCCATCTCTTCTGAATGATTTAAGTTTGAAGTCAACTTTGTTAGAGATTAGTATGGCCACACCTGCTTGTTTCTTAGATCCATTTGCTTAATAAGCCTTTTCCCATCCCTTTACTCTGAGTAGGTGCCTGTCTTTGTGGTTGAGGTGTGATTCTTGTAAACAGCAGAATGTTGGATCCTGTTTTCGTATCCAATCTCTTAGCCTATGCCTTTATATAGGTGAGTTGAGTCCATTGACATTAAGTGATATTAATGACCAGTGGTTGTTAACTCGGTCATTTTTTTAGTTTTAGAGTTTGTGTGTTTCCCTTCTTTGATTTGTGTTGGTGAAGGGTCTCTAGATGTCTGAGTTATTGTGGTCATTGTTGGACTCCTTGGTTAGTGATTTTCCTTCTATTACTTTCTGTAGGGCTGGATTTGTGGCTATGTATTGTTGAAATTTGTTTTTATCTTGGAAAATTTTGTTTTCTCCATTTATAGTGAACGAAAGCTTGGCTGGGTATAGTAGTCTGGGCTTGCATCCATGGTCTCTCAGTTTCTGCAGTACATCTATACAGGACCTTCTGGCTTTCATGGTTTCCATGGAGAAGACAGGTGTAAGTCTGATAGGTTTACCTTTATAAGTAATTTGACCTTTTTCCTTTGCAGCTCTTAATATTCATTCCTTATTCTGTATGCTTTGTGTTTTGATAATTATATGGCGAGGTGATGTTTTTTTTTTCTTTTTGATCCAGCCTATTCGGTGTTCTGTATGCTTCTTGAACCTTCATAGGTATATCTTTCTTTAGGTTGGGAATGTTTTCTTCTATAATTTTATTAAATATATTTTCTGGACCATTGAGTTGCACTTCTTCTCCTTCTTCTACTCCTATTATTCTTAGGTTTGGTCTTTTTATTGTGTCCCATATTTCCTGAATGTTTTGTGATGAGAGTTTGTTGGACTTGCTGTTTTGTTTGATCAGTGTGTTTATTTTCTCTATGGTATCTTCAGAATCTGAGATTCTTTCTTCTAACTCTTTTATTCTGTTGGTTATGCTTGTTTCTGTAGACTCTGTTTGTTTACTTAAATTTTCCATGTCCAGCCGGCCCTCTGTTTGTGTTTTCTTCTTTGCCTCCATTTCAGTTTTCAAGTCTTGAACTGTTTCCATTATCTGTTTGATTGTTTTTCCTTGGTTTTCTAGGGTATCATTCACTGATTTATTCAATTCTTCAAACTTTCTCTTTTATTTCTCATCCATTTCTATAAGGGCGTTTTTTTACATGCTGTTTAAGGGCGTCAATCACTTTCATGAAGTCAATCTTTTCTATTTCTTCTTGATTAAGGTGTTCATGTCCTCCCGTTGTGAAGTCGCTGGTTTCTGGTGGCTTCATGTTGCTTTTCAGCTTGTTGGGCGAATTCTTGCCTTGGCATCTGCCCATCTCTTCTTCCAAATGCTCCCTTATGGATCTTCTTTTGCCAGATCAGGTCTCCTTGCCTACCCAACGTTGGCTCTCCTGGCGCTGAGAGATCAGGTCTCCGTGCTGGTTTGGCAGCTCGCAAACAAAGCGCCTACCCTGCTTGGTGCATGCAGGCCCTAGAAACAAAGGAACTCCCGCCCCCTTGGGTGCCCCGAGGATTCGGACCCAGTGCCCATGCAGGCTGGGCTGGGTGACGTTATGTGCCGAAAGAGCGCAGTGGGGCCGAAGTGGGGAGGGTTCTGGATGGAAGCTGGGTGGGCTAGGAGAAAGAGGCGGTATGCAGGGAGTAGAGGCCCTGCCGAGAGCCCAATAAGGATAGGGGGCCAAGGAACCTCTGAGCTCCCTCGTCCCAGGCTGGCGCAGCGGGGCCAGAAACTCACCCCAACGCTGGCTTTCCTGGCGCGGAGCAAGATGTTTTCATTTTTACGGTAGCTGGATGGTCAGACCTGGCTCAAATGACAGCAGAGAGAGCTGCTTCAGACAACTCGGCCTCCCTTGTTTCTTCATCAAGATGCAGCTGCTGTAGTCCAGAAGCCAGTTTTAAGCGTGGCATAAAGAGCTCGGACTGCAGACTAGGGGCCTTTCAACACGAGGCCTGCCACGTGGAAAGGACCTGCCCTAGCTCGGCGGGAACCTCCAAATGTTAGGGATATTTCCTTAGCGAGCTCTCTGACGAGGTAAAAATTCTTAATCAAGCCAAATCAAAATGAGCCAAATTAAGAAATATCCAGGTTTAATGGGAGATCTGCACTCTCAGGTGGCCCCAAGGCGGAAACAGGGCTGAAGATTATTTTTTGTAATATGCCACCTTGCATATGGGTCTACATATTTATAAAATTGTATCACTTATATATCTAAAAATGTTTCACATAAATATACTAATACAGATAATTATGTATTTTCTATCTTCCAGTTTTCTATTTTCATCAAAGACAAGACATATTTTCACAGAAGAATAGACAAGATCCTATCCAGAATTTAATATCAGGTATAGATGTAAGTAGTGACTTAAAAACCTTGCATTGAAAGATGTTCTCAAAATTTGGGGAAGACAGAAAAGAGAATGGATTATGTCATGGTTGAATAATCTGAATTTACCAACCACCCTGGATTATCCTGCAAAAATTTTTCAGTAATCCCTACCTTATCTTGCAAGATATCACATTAGATCACTTTAGGTCACTTATATTTTCCAAAGCAGTTTTTTTAGTAAAAAATACAAATAAAGTTTTAAAACATGTTTTTATTCTACAAAAAAATTTGAAAAACATAAAAACTGAATGACACATATGCTATTAAACATTCACTAGAATTTCCTCAACTAATAATCATATTAATAGTTATATTTTGTGCCAAGCTATTCAATTGGGATATACAGTAGACATTTTTCTCAATCAAATGAGACTGAAAATATATTGTGGTTTTCTAGTTGTGAGAAATCTTGCACATTTAATGATGTTATTAAAGCAGTTCTTATGAACTCTAGGAATACTAGTTACCAGAATGCTTATCTTGAAGGGATAAATTCCCAAAACAACAAATCACAATATAGCTTTACTCATTAATTCTCATACATAGAAGAAATTTGTTTTTCCCAAGAGCCAATACATACATGATAATTTTAAGGGAATTTTGACTGTAACACAAACCTTTATTTTTGCAGTGTGATCGGACACAAGAGAAGCATTATATAAGGAAACAAAATGGACAAAACAACTACATGGAATGTGAGAAGGATTTTAACAGATATTCATGCCTCCCTAGGCATAGGGGAATTAATCCTGGAAGGAAGGGATACAAGTGTAAAGATTGTAGTAAATCATTTACAAGTCATGCAAAACTTCAAACTCACCAGAGAATCCATACTGGTGAGAAACCTTACAGATGTCAAGAATGTGGCAAGTCCTTTACCCAGGACACAACTCTTTACAGACATCGCAGAATCCATACTGGTGAGAAACCTTACAGATGTCAAGAATGTGGCAAGTCCTTTACCGAGGCCTCAACTCTTCACAGACATCACAGAATCCATACTGGTGAGAAACCTTACAGATGTCAGACATGTGGCAGGTCATTTACCGTGTCCTCAACGCTTCAGAGTCATCAAAGAATCCATACTGGTGAGAAACCTTACAGATGTCAAGAATGTGGCAAGTCGTTTACCACTGTCTCGGGTCTTCACAGACATCGCAGAATCCATACTGGTGAGAAACCTTACAGATGTCAAGAATGTGGCAAGTCATTTACCACAGTCTCAGATCTTTATAAACATTGCAGAATCCACAGTGGGGAGAAACCTTACAGATGTCAAGAATGTGGCAAGTCTTTTACCACTGTCTCAGGTCTTTACAGACATCGCAGAATCCATACTGGAGAGAAACCTTATAGATGTCAGGAATGTGGCAAGTCCTTTACCCAAGTCTCAACTCTTCACGCTCACCACAGATCCAAACTAGTGAAAAACCTTACATATGTAAAGAATATAAAATAGTCTTTTAACAGAAACTCAGCTATTAGAAAGCATCACAAAATTCATGTAATGGATACATTTCATAAAGTTTATTAGTATACCTCACATTAGCTCATTGTACAAATCTTCATATGTTGACCAAATTATTACACAGGCACACATTTTAATTAAATTTCAAAACTTTTTCAATACTTATACAGATATATATTTCTTATAAATATAGAAACATTGTATCCATATTTGAACTTTATTGTCTTCAGTTTCTGTATACAAAATTCATACATCATTGTTTTAAACATACTATTCAAGCATTAACTATTATGAATAAGCAAATAATTGTAGTAGAAAAAAATTAAGTCATAACATTTCTTGACTGTATGCTGAGAGAACGTGTTAAAGAACCAGACAATTTGAAACTATTTCAGATTTTGATGCATATTTAATTTCTTGCAATATAGTTGCTTATATAATGAGATTACACTCTATATAAACATTATTTTCCTGTGATGTTTTGGTGATTTTATATAAATATCAGCTTGTTTTAAACTTCAAGTATTTTCATTGTGTGTCTTTGCAATAAAAATGTTAAACATTTTGGTCAATTTTATTCCATTTTTTGTTCTGATAGTCTATTTTCTAATGGCAGGGTATCGTCTATGGATGAGAGCAACAATGAAAACATGGCATAAAATGGAAGTACATTTGCTGTGGAATATGTCTACACTGTGTAAAAATAGATTGCTTTGATTGGTAAAATAAGATGATGACTGGACAATATCTAGGCACGAGGTATCGGCAGAAATTCCTTGCAGAGAGAGTAAGGAGGAAGAGGAATTGAGGCATGCAGATGAGTTGCCAGTAGACGGGAAGGAAACAGCATTGCGGTATGTGGCAAAATATAGACAAAACATATGGGTTAATTTAAGTTATTGGACCTAATTGGAAACAAGCCTATGTTAATACCAAGCGTTCATAATAAGAAGTCTCCCTGTCATTATTTTGGATCTGGTGGGACAGCAAATGACAACCTACATAGATTTGGTTCAACTCAATGTGAGGCAATTGGATAATACCAATGGGCATGCTAAACTGCCCAAGGAAAAGCTTTAAGGCAACAACATCAAACAAAGAACTCTATAGACATTGAGGAAAGCAGGGATTGGGAGAGGCGGCCTTCGTTAGAGAAGAGCACATAAACTGATTGTCCAGTAACCAATGGGCAGCCCTGACAACATATAGAATTGTAATATTGTATGGATTGGTCTTCTTGTATTCAGGAATATATGTATATATAAATTTATATATAAAATAACTGCATAAAAAGGACAAAAACTTGAAGGAGAACAGAAATGTGTGGAATATAAAAGAGTTGGAGGTAGGAAACTTAAGGCATAAAATGCTGTAATTTGTAGGGAGTGCAAAGGTTCATGTACTCACAGCACTGGGGAAACTAGAAATGTTTACCCACACAAGGTTGTCGGTTCAGTGAAAATGTCTATACTCCGTTTTCTACTTGACAGCTGGGGTTTTTTTTTTTTTTTGGTGGACAATAACCCACACGTATTATCCTTGTGTTATCTATGACCTGGCCATACTAAACTCCCAGAATCAACACTGAACATATTCACTATTCAAAGTGGCAAAATACAGTCAAACTGATGCAAACTGATTAATGTTTTGGGGAATTGTGAGAGAATCTCCAAGAAGAAAAAGGGAGAAGGCCTTTTAGCTCAAGTGCATTTTGTTCCATAACATGATCTTGGATGTGATTTTGTGTCTCCTGCAACAAATATTTGCATTCATTTGTAAGACATGCTTATTGTTGTCAGATAGCAGAACATAACTATAGAACCAAAAGCGGTGAAATGGTGTGTTCAATGCTGTCCTCGCTGTATGTTAAATATTGACACAACTCAGGGTCAAATTCTAGAAGTCTGAACCAACCCAAGCTACTGAGTCCCATTGTTTAAGATTCCTTCTTGCCCCATGTGGATTGTTATTCTGCCAGCCTTGCTGTTCTCAGAAATGCCCACAAAATTATATTATGAAATCAAAAAAATTAAAAATACAAAAAAGAAAATATAAAGAGCTTCTCATTATTTGAAAGTGTTGTAAACTTCTCTCTAGGACAAAATTGTCCACTTTATTCGTTAGTTTAAATAAATAGTAAGAAAAGTGATAGCTATATTTAGCCATGTTCTCTAGCTCTTTTTCATTATTTCAAATGATGTTTTCTCTGTTTACCAAGATTCATATTCTTTCTTTAGCATTGTATTGTGTTTGTAACAAGTTTTAATTTTTAAATATGATATGATTGATATATATATATATATATATATATATATATATTACATCTGGGCCAGTTTCCCCTGCCTCCTCTCCTTAAGTCACTTACTCCCATACCCCTCTCTTTCCACACCATAAACCACTCTTCCTCCATTGCTGTTAGGAAAGGATGGGTCTCCATTGGGCATAGAAAAACATGGCATTCCAGTTTACAGTAAGACAAAGAATCTCCCTGTGTGTTGAGGCTTGCCATTATGGGAGGTAGGGTCCCAAAAGCCAGAATAAGAGTCAGAGAAAGCAACTGCTTTCTCTGAAAGGAGTGTCATAAGAAGACCAAGCTACACAACTGTAACATCTATGCAAAGGGCCTAGGTCAGTTGCATGGAGGACCTATGTTGTCTGTTTGGTCTTTTGCAGCCACAATGAACCCAGGTTAGTTGACTCTGTGAATGTATATTTTTGGAGGTCTCCTTTCAGTGTTAGGCCCTCCTCTACTTATGAGCTCTCAATATCCCAGCTTCTCAAGGCTACTGCTCCAGATATAAGGTAATAAATACATAGGCTCTGCCAGATACTCTGGATGCCAACTCTTCAGTTGGTAGTTAATTAGCTAGCTAATACTTTCAGTAAAAACAAAGCAAAATTTATTTGTCTGTTGTGAATGGAAATTCAAAAGTCAACTAATTGTGGCAACATGAACTCCCTTAAAATAATCTTGTTTTGTTCACCTGGTTATTATTTACTTGTGAGAAGTCACACAAGGCTTTGAATTTGCTCATGTTATAAAATGTTGATTCCATGGCTATCTCCTGTATTTCAATGAGTCTTTTGTTAAAGAGTAACTGTGTTTATAGAATAATATAACAATATTAAATAAAATAGTGCATTTTCACAATTACTACTTGAAATATGTACTCTCTTTTTTCCTGTGTTAGTAAATGAAAGAAAAAATTGCTGTAATTTTTCTGAAATTTTGTTCCTTTTATTTGAAAAGAAATTAGTAATTTTTTTTTTACTTCTGAACTTTGACTTTATATACTGGGAAACTCCATACCACATGGTTGGGGTGTTGGGCCTGATCGCTTCCAAGATAAATATCTTCCCCCACATATTAGAAAATTCATTTCTTTTTCTTCCATTTTCTAGAAATTTACATTTAATCCCTTCAATTTCACCCCCATGTTAACAGGTATGTGGCCTTTCTATGGTTGAATTTTCGTCAGCTTTTATTCTGGCTTCATAAAGCATTGAATTGCTTCTTTTAAATGTTCTGAATTTTCTTTATCCATTCTTATTTTGAGTGTCATCTAGGTTGTTTTCATGTTCTTCAAATTACAAATAAAACTCCCATGAACACAGTGGAATGAGAGACCTTGTTATGATTAAGCTGTCTTTGTCTAAATATCCAAAGATGGTATTGCTGGGTCTTGAGAATAATTATTTCAAAATTTTCCAAGAAATTGCCATATTTATTTCTACAGGGAATGTATAAATTTTCACTCTTACCAGCACTGAAGAGGTGTTCCCCTTGTTCCACATCCTCTCCAGCATAAGCTGTCATTTGTAGTTTTGATCGTATCCATTCTCACTTGTTAAGGTGTAATTTGGGAATTATTTTTATTTTCATTTTCCTGATGTCTAAAGTTCATAAACAGTGGTTTAAGTGCATCTTGACCATTTTCAGTTCTTCTGTTGAGAATTCTTTGTTTGATCAGTTTTCTGTGTTTAATTGGATAATTTGTTGGGATTATTTTTTTACATCTAGTTTCTTGAGTTCTTTATACTTTTTTGAGATCAGCCCTTTGTCAGATGTGGAGTTGGTGAAGAACGTTTTGCAATCTTCAGGCTGCTGTTTTGTCTTATTGACAGTGCCCTTTGATTTACAGAAGATTTTCAGTTTAACGGGCTTCCATTTGTTGATTTTTGGTCTCAGTGTCTGTGCTAGTGCTGTTCTATTCAGAAAGTTGTCTCTTGTACTAATGTGTCCAAAACTATGTATAGTTATGTTGAGGTCTTTGATCCACTTAAATGTGAATTTTGTGCAGGTTGATAGACATAGGTCTATTTGCATTCTTCTACATGTTGACTCAGGTATTGCCAGACAATTCTATTGATGATGCTCTCTTTTATTGCATTGAATATTTGGCTTCATTGTGAAAAGTCAAGTGTTTGTAGGTGTTTGGGTCTTTTATTTTATTTCATATTATTTTAATATAAAAACAAAAATAAAAATAAAAAAGAGGAAAAGCAGGCAATATTGAATGTTTTTAAGAAATGATTTAGGGAACAGTACACAGAAAGCTACAAGGAAATTACATGACCATGGAGACAGAAATGGAAAGCAAAAAATCAAAGTCAGAAAAAGCTCAGGGTAGGATCAAATCACTCTTAAAATGTTAAAGAGGGAAGAGAAACAAATAAGGCTATCTTGCTGAAGAGACACTAACTGGCAAAACAACAAAGTCTAAATTGTACTTCAGATTACACACTGTGAGTGTGTCCTGTACACATGGTCTAATATCCACATGAGGTAATTAGCCAGGTTTCTGATTGACAGGGACCAGCCTCAGCAGCACAATGGGCCTCGAATCTGGGATATCTGGAAGGTGAAATGAATACACAAAGGATTCTGATGCAAGCTGATGGGCTACCAGCTGCAGGACAAGTTCTTCTATCCTGAGCTTCAAACCTCAGTCTTTTATTGTAAATTTTACATAAGGAAAATGACTCATTTT